ATCAACTAATGGGTATAATGTGCTTTATTTTATGTACCTACCGGGTTGATATCTATCCCCACAAGTCCACACACCACCATTCTTACATTTACAGTCTGTACCCCATCTATCATTGGTTACAACTTCTTCTTTTACAGGACTAAAACATATAACAAGTATATAGATTAATAATGATTTGTATATGGGTAAAAAAATCGCTACTTCCCATTTTAGATAAAACACTGATTACATCCATCGGATATTGTAATATTTTTAGATAATTACATAATTTGACTTTTCGTGGACTTTACAAATATACCGTCAGAAAAATATAAGTTTAGAGGGTCGAACAAAAAGAAGATACTATGACATGTGCGTCTGTCTGTACACTAAAATAATTGTATTTTCTATTCCCTAAATGGCATTTAGCGAATAATTTGTACGTAATCAAATAAATATTGTTTATTTGATAATCTGCGGAAGAGAAGACGTAAGGTGGGTAGACTGTATGGTTTGTCCGATATGTACGCTCGTATTTTATGTTATGCCTCTGTATGTTCTAATGTTCGTTCCCGTGCAGGGAAATCCACGGTACGATGTTACACAAATTATGTACTGGAAAATATGATTACCACATACCACCTACCTACATTAAACCTACTATGCTGACAATGCCAGATATAAATTTGAACAGTACTGTTTAGCTCAGGCTTATACTTTTTGTGTGCTTGTAAGATACCGGGTTACTTTAGCTACTTGTCATACAGTAACTGTCTAGGTGATGTCCGGATATAAAATTTATATCCGGACATCACCTATGTTTCGAGGAATGTTGATTACCTATCTATTGATAGTATCAAAAGCAATATTCGTCACGTAAACCCACCTATCATTATATAGCCATGCTATGAATTTAGTTGAGTTCCAGTACGAAGCAGGAGCTGCTGCATCTCCATCTGACCACACTATATGGGGTTTGTATCTTTTTACAATTTCATACAAAGCAGGAGTAGTCTTCGTCTACCATATAAGACAACATTCACATGGAAAAGAAACATTAGAAAATATGACTGAATTATCTAAATAAAACAACTGAAATTCCATAATTCAAACGAGAATATTAAAAATTTGTAATGGTCAAAGCTAAGAGTTTTACACTTTTATATACTAAAATGAATGATCACCCACCCTGGAAAATTGGGATGTCGTCCAGTTGTTAGCTTTATCTTGGTTATACAATGGATTCAGCCATTCATACAAACAATGATACAAACCAAAATGTAGATTTGTTTTAGTACGTATAGCTTCGCCTAATTCCCCTGTAAAACAACTAAAATTATTTTAAATTCATATTTCTTGGATTTTAAATTTACTAAGCATGGTTCATCCCTCTGAACAATATTTATTTAAAAATCATTAATTCCGTTTCGCCTTTATAATGTGATACACTATGTAATACGTAGCTAACATATCTCCACTGACGTGTAGTGGGTCATGAAAAGATCGATGTATATCTTGAAGTGTATGGAAGAGATGTGTTTTCGTTGGCTGTTATATATATTCAGTGCGGTAAAATATAAAATATGGACTATAAAACGGGATATTACACATAAAACTAAATACCAACCAACAATGTCTCTCTTTGGGCCAACAGTCATCGAGTTCCAGTTAAATGCTGTACTAGAAGGCCAGTTGGTGTATCCTTCAGCATGTTTACTGGTAAACACAATATAACTTTAAACAAAGAACAATAAATTTGCAATAAGGTTTTGTGGACGATAAACTTATAACTTTTAATCGGAGTCTTGATCAAGAGTAATCAAGAATAGCATTGCCCCAAAAGTATCAATACTGACCAACAAGTAAAACAATTTTAAATTGATTTCGTATCATCATATTATTAGCCGGCATACATATTTTGTTTTTGCTTTCAAAATGATCTTAGCTTTTCTAAGAAATGTGTTCAAACTTACGCTGCTCCAGATGAATTTAATATCTCCGCCCACTGATTAGCATCGTAGAACTCGGCAGTAAAATCCTTCGCAAAATCAGCATACATGAAATCTGGTCTGTAATGGTTTTTCATAAATTCAATATACGAAGGCACCTTCAGGTTTTTCCAATAATTCCAAAACCATTCTGATTCCGAATTAAAACCGACACTTGGTACAGCAAATACTCCCCAGTGGATGAAAATACCAAGCTTACCTTCGTCATACCAAGCCGGCAACGGTCTTGAATTTAGTGAATTCCAATTTGGTTCATATCTTTCCGCCTCACAAATAAGAGGGAGGAGAAAAAGACATATCTTAATATACATTTAAAGTTGGGTGTCTCCTAGGCTGCACTTGATGGAATTATGTTAAATCGTTGTTTGAAGTATACTGTATATGACAGGTGGAAAATTAATATTATCTGAAAAACATATGTTATCTCAGTACGCTCGTAAGTAGAACATATTTGACCTTTTTAAAGTTATGCTTATCTTTAGTGTGCTAGTGAATACAAAAATAAAGTTATTTTATGGCTTAATGGTTTTAACTCATTTTACCACATGGTCAATACATGTAAAAGATGGACGGGGAACAGGACAAATCAATAGTGTCATCCTCTTATTGTCCCAATGCTTCACATCGAATTTGAAATTCGAATCGAATTGGTTCAGGATATTTTGATCCTTAACAAAAAAATCAGACAAATATTGTAGCCTCCAGAGGGTCTGCAAACTTTATACATATTGCGTAGTTTGCGTAAAAAGCAGGGACTATAACTATCGAATGGAAGTTCAGTTGCGTACACAATTCAATCAGATTCAAGAATACGTACTTTAAATCTATTCTAAAAGGGGTTGCAACTCCGACACGGAAGGTCTGGTGAGCACAAAAATCGAACTCATCCATGATCTTTTGATCCTGGACATATTTTTTAAAAGTTTCATCCATTTCGGACAACAATTGTGACCTGTAGAGTGTCCAAAAACAAGTGTGAACGGACGTCAGACGTCCGGGCAGATAGAGGCCACGACATAATACCATTCTGAATGATTTAATACAAACAAAAGCAAAACAAAAAAAGTGTTAACCATAGACATTATCAAGCTATTAGACACTCCCACAGATAAGAAACATATAATATATATATAACTAACACTGAAAATCAGATAGACAAATCTTACTTTAACGAATGAACGGTCTTAGTAAGAAGATTAAATGTGGTTTAGGGGAGTATTACTAAGTGGTTATGTGCTATTGATGACCGTTGTCCCCTGTAAGGCACGATATGAACCAAACTGGGAGTCAATTGATTCACGTCCACTGCCGGAATGGTATGATAAAGCTAAACTTGGAATTTTCATCAACTGGGGAATATATACCGTCCCTAGTTTCCATAACGAGTGGTTCTGGTACAGATGGAAAGGTACACGTGACCCGGATTATGTGGAATTTATGAAGAATAATTATAAACCCGATTTTACGTACCCCGACTTTGCTGCAGATCTGAGTGCTGAGTTCTTCGATCCAAATGAGTGGGCTCGTATTTTGAATTCTTCTGGGGCGGAGTAAGTATTTTCAGTTTTTATACAATTATGTATATATCTGGTATATCTGGTATCATCGGAATGTAAGTTTGCCAGGTTTCCGGTGGTGGGTGTGGTATTCTACGCCCAAAATGCCATGCACCCAACTAGGCCGGGTTTCCGGTGGTGGGTGTGGTATTCTACACCCAAAATGCCAAAAGTGCTCAAAAGTGTACCACATGAAAATCGTACAGCAGTGTACCGTACATCTTCAGGTGTTACAAAAACACTCTAACAGACATTTCTAGTGGTGGGTTACCCCTGACAGAGCTATGTAATTGTCAGACATTTGTAGTGGTAGAGTATCCCTGACAAGAGTTATCTTATTTCCAGCCCACAGCTAGGCTAGATTAGTTGTTCAGTACCAATACAGGAATCATGAATGACCACTGCCAGACAGTTAGTGCGGTGGGTTACCCCTAATAGACACGCCCCAAAATGCCACGCCCCCAAGTAGACTAGATTAGCGGGCACTGTTCCCGTGTTCTAAAAAATTAAATTTTTAGCCAGGATGCGTAGAATACTAATACCTAGCACGTATGGAAGAGGCGAAAGAGGCGATAAACTGCGGTTACAAGAAATTGATTTTTGGCCATAAAACGTTTTAAGGGGTTAAAAATGCGTTTTTGAAAAAAAAATGTTCCTGAAACCGCAGAGTATCGCCACTTCCATACGTGCTAAGTATTAGTATTTTACGCATCCTGGCACAATTTTTAATTTTTTGGACCACGGGAACCGTGCCGGTTAATCTATCGTAGTGGGGGGGGGGGGCATTTTGGGCGTGTCTGTTAGGGGTAACCCACCGCACAAACTGTCTGGCAGCGGTCATTCATGATTCCTGTAGTGGTACTGAACTCCAAAGCTTTTTTAGGGGGTACAGATTTCAACTAATCTAGCCTAGCTGTGGACCGGAAATTAGATAACTCTTGTCAGGAATACTCTATCACTAAAAATGTCTGACAATTACATAGCTCTGTCAGGCGTAACCCACCACTAGAAATGTCTGTACGATTTTCATGTGGTACACTTTTGAGCTAATCTAGCCTAGTTGGGGGGCATGGCATTTTGGGCATGGAATACCACACCCACTACCAGAAACCCGACAGACTTACATTCTGATGATACCAGATATACATGCATTGATACCATATAGGAGAAAATTGGTACACTTTTCAGCTAGGTTAACCCCCTGGGCTCCCGTTCTATTGGCCTATAGTACAGATATTCAGAGTAAAAGCACACTGGCATATACGAAAAGTGAAATAGAATAAAATAGTCCAGAAAGAGAAGATATTGGGTTTGGTGGATAATGAAATGGCGCGTATTGAAAAGACGACGAGAACGGTCACGAGTTTGTTTTGACATTTGGTTAACTTGGAAATAGCTTTGAGACGAAGTTCATGAAATTATGCTTTATCAACAGTTACCTCTCCTTGGTTTACAGATATATAGTTCACTCCAGTAAACATCATGAAGGGTATGCCATGTGGCCTACAAATACATCTTTCAATTGGAACTCAATGGCTGTTGGACCTAAGAAAGACTTAATTGGTAATTATATTGCGTGAAGGAGCATTGTCAGAATTAAAATGAGAATTAAAATGTTGGCCAGCTAGTCGATAGGAGACCAAACCATCGCTTCAGTTTTTGGTTATATGTAGCCTATGTGTATATGAATATTTCTTAACCTTGTCAATTTGATGTCAAAAATGCAACTTGAAATAAATAATCTATGAACAATCGATAAATTCGCTGATAAACTGACCAAACTTACGCGAAAGTTAGAGATATAACCTCGCAGGTCAACATTGTGGCCAATGTCAAAGGGACATTGGTATATTACTTCACTGCTGGGTATTACTTTGAAAATTTTGATTAAGGAAGTCGTGACGCTACTCTTCCGATTTTACTCCTCGTTTTGAGGATATTGGGTATGTGGTTGACTTTTGGGATTGCCCCTTACGTACAGTTTTTGTATGGCTTACTTTCAGGGGAGCTGGCAGCAGCCATCAAAGCTAATACCTCAATCCATTATGGAATTTACCATTCTCTTTTCGAGTGGTTTAACCCAATTTATCTTCAAGATGAAGCTAATGGTTATAAAACTCAAAATTATGTAGACGTAAGTGACTGTTTATGATTTATTGTGTTGGTGTATTTACATATAGTGATGTTTCTGTCCTTCAGTCTGGCTTTCGGGGTTTTGTTTCAGACAAAAGTTATTCCAGCCCTATATGAGATAATTAATACGTATCAACCGGATATAATCTGGGCGGATGGTGATTGGGAAGCCACCAGCACTTACTGGAGATCAACTGAATTTTTAGCTTGGTTGTATAATGACAGGTAATGTAATTTTAAACTATTTAGAAATCAGAAGCTTTGCATTATACACATCGAACCATGCAAAAACTGAACAGACTCCAATATTTGTTTTCTTTAGGGGCAAACTAATGTATGGTGTCCCTCCTTCTGCAAAAGCAATTATAATTTTCACTGGTCGATAGTGCGCCGAAATATGACTATTGAACTTGCAGTGTTTTGTCAGGGGTTTATTCAATAACTATAATTTACTATTATGGAATTCATGGCGTTCATCGACCGTGGAATTTTAAGAGTCACAATCCATGTTGACACGAAGTTTTATTGTGCTTAATCAGTTTTAACACTATCACCAAAAATAGGTTTTTATACGCCCACATTTTCATGTGGGCGTATTATGCGGTCGCCCCTGTCCGTCCATCCGGAGGTTCGTCCACAATTTGTTTGCGGACACTCTACAGGTCACAATGTTGTTCGATTTTAATGAAACTTGAAATATAGGCCCATCACCCAAAGATCTCGCTTCCGTTCGATATTGGCATGTATCGGACCATAACTTCATGTTAAAAAAAAAACCGTTTGAATATATCACCGGTACACCCTAATGACGGCTGAGTTCGAAATTTCGTGAAATTCGGACGTAAACTGTCGGACAAAAAAGCCGCCCCTCTTCCGCAAATAGTGTAAAATTATGGTATATCAAGGTTGTGGAACCTCTAGAGGTCACAATTTTGATCCGAGTTTGATGAAACTTGAATTTCATGTTTATAATCCACGGAACTTGGTTCCTTTCGATATTTGCGCATATCAGATCATAACTTCCTGAATTATGACCCTTGATTGTACGAAAATCGCGTTTTTAGATTCCGGTCTCTCTAGAGGTCAAACTCAAAATTTTTATCCGATTAAAAAAAAAAACGTTTGAATATCACTGCTACACCCTAATGACAGTTGAGTGTGAATATTGTGAAAATGGGACCAAAACTTCCGGACAAAGTGTCCGCCCCTCGTACGCATATATAGAGGCCACAATATGTTGATCCGATTTTGATGGAACATTATATTTATGTTTATATCACAAAGATCTTGGTTCCTTTCGATAATCGCGCATATCCAAACATTACTTCCTGGATAATGACCCCTGATTGTTCGAAAGATTGCATTTTTAGCTTGTGGACCTGCTAGAAGTCACAATTTGTATTCCATTTTAAAATACGTTTAATTTGTATCACCGTTACACCCTAATGACGGTTAAGTTCAAATTTCGTGAAAATCGGACCAAAACTGCTGACAAAACGGGCGCCCACTGTACGCAAATTGTGTACGTATGCTGTGGACCTTCTAGAGATCACAATTTTTGTGAGATTCTGATGAAACTTAAAATATATCTTTATATCCCAAAGATCTCAATCCCTTTCGATATTCGCGTATATCAAACCATAACTTCTTGGATTATAGCCCCTGATTGTACGAAAAATCGCGTTTTGGGGGGGGGGGGGTAGCTTGTTCTCTATACATTTCTTGCAAAATATGGGCGTATCTTGCCTGGCAACCGCTGGTTTTTAAAATGAATAACATTTTTGTGTAGACAATCATTTGCTATGGCAGTTTTACGAACACTGATTCTGAAGTTACTGATCTGCCGCTTGCCAGATGTAATTTTTGAGCGCATGTTGTACTTGACATATGTAAAATGCAAAGGTCTTTACTGTTCCAGCCAGATCTTTTAATTTCATACCTTTTGCTAGCGTCAATTTTAGGATCTTTTCGTTTCTTGATCACGACCTCCCCACCATGTCCACAAAATATGTTCTTTTCTGGCACATGATAGCCCAGTAGGAGATTTAGTTGTAACAAATGATAGACGGGGAAGTGATGCAAAATCCAAGCATGTGGTTTCTGCACCTGCAGCGATCGATTTCAACCAAGTATGTAAATCGGCAACAGATTATTTAAATAGAAACATCTTTATATTATATTATAATAGCCCAGTAGGAGATACGGTTGTAACTAATGACAGATGGGGAAGTGACGCAAGATGCCACCACGGTGGGTTCTTTACCTGCGAAGATCGATTTCAGCCGGGTATGTAGAATCAACATCCCAAATTTGTTAATGTGATGAACTATGGAGACGGAATAAAAGACTAACAATTACACCGATACTACGTTTAAATAAACAGAGGGTCTAAGGTCTACGGTCTACCCCCACCCACTCCACAAAGTCTGTAATATAGAAATAGGAACGAGAACAATATTACAATTTAGAAGGTTATATTGCTTTTTTCCGTACGATATTTAATTTTTCGCACCCTTTTCTCGGATGAATCAACGTTACAATCAGACCCCTAATTTACGAAATATTACGTCTTTAGCTTGTGAACCCTCTAGAGGTCATCATTTATGCTAAAATCAGACCTCGTTGTATCTAATGGCATAATTACTTGTGTGCAATAATCCGGAGAAAAGAATACTTGCGGATAAATTATTTGGGGGGGGGGGGGCGGGGCTAAAGCCACCCCACTCCGCCAGGCCTGACAATGTACACAAATTGATTTTTTAATATTTTATTATGACAACAAAATCAAAATATCAATGGAAGATATCCTCCTGCAGCTTTGATACATCCGGAATAAAAAGAGGTCCATCAAAAGATTTTGGAAAATATTATTATCGTCTACATATCGACAAGTCACGATATCTATGTAATTTAAATACTAAATAAAACTCAACCATGTTTGGTCTGACATTCCTGTTTGAGATTCAACATTCACAAAATTGTACTGATTCGATATCCATAAATGATGTTGAGAGACTATAACTTTTTGTGGTACACTGTATGCGTGATTAACTAAACGAGAAAGAAGCGACACACTGTATGCGAGAATAACCAAAGGAGAAATGGGTCCTTATCCGATTAGAGGCTTGTTTCTCTTTAAAATGGAATAAACATAATTGTTTACGTATTTTAATAGGTGTCTTGCAAAAACGCAAGTGGGAAAACGCCATGACTATTGATCGTGCTTCTTGGGGATTTCGAAGAGAGGCAAATTTAAATGGTTACATAACAACCCAAGATATAATAGCAACTTTTGTGGAAACTGTCAGGTGAGCATATATGATACAACAGCTTAAAAGGAAAATAATTGATGAAGTATATTTAACTTCTCCAGGTTATACAATATAATCGATTGTTAAATTGTCCGTTTTCCACTTTAATTCTTCCAGTTGTGGAGGAAATATGTTAATGAATATAGGACCTACTAAAGAAGGTACAATAACGCCCTTATACGAAGAGAGACTTGCAGATATGGGGTCCTGGCTAGCAGTAAATGGCGATGGTATAAAAGGAACTCAACCTTGGACAACTCAAAATGATACACTCACGTCTAATGTTTGGTAAGAAATAAAGAGCTGGAAACCGTATGCTTATTAGATTACCCTGGGGCGGAAGCTTGGGGCCACCAAAAGAAACCTACCTCTTTCACGTACATATGTGGGATCGAATCTATGACTATGTGGAAAATAAGCCTTATAATCTGCAGTTTAAACCCGGGGAGATAAGGAGGGTGCGCAGAGGTCGTTCTCTCAAAATAAGCTAAACCATTATTTCAGGACTAATATGGTATTTTTTTTAAAATATTCGATCGCTGGAAAACGTCATATCCTATCCTATTTCCACGTATTACTGACGTTTGATTGGGTCATACAGTGTTTAATGGCACGCCAGCGCTAATCATATTGTGATTGATACGAGACAAACGCAGGCAGAAACATAAATTTTGTTTATTCCAAGGTATACTGTTTTGGATTATATTTTGTTTTCTTTAAAGGTATACCAAAAAAGGTACCACGGTATATGCCATAACCCTGAAGTGGCCTAATGGACTTATTTTTAGCCTTGCTGCACCGATGACCCAACCTGGTACAACGGTAGAACTGCTGGGGTATCCTGGTACTTTTTCGTGGAAAGCTCGGGTTGGCAAAGGAATCGACATCATGATTCCTGATATTCCTTTTAACAAAATGCCATGCAAATGGGCTTGGATTTTCAAAATAAACGGATTGGTCAATGTATATTAATAAAAATCTCGTTTTTAGTGGGTTTAATTGTTTTAGCTCATTTAGCTCGTCTTTTAGCTACTGTATATGGGAAATAGATTGTACTTTCTGATCGGCGTTGTGTAAATGATAATTAAAAGGGCGTTCTGATGATTTTCTCGTTTAAGATTATCAGTGTGTATAATCAATGCTATTTTCGATAGTATTTTGGTTAGAAATGATAATAAAAATCAAGTGATATTAAACACTGTTTTTAAAGTCCATTAAGCAATATTAAAGAAAGAGATGTCGCGGGGTAATCATCCCTACCAATGACAAATGAGAACCCAATCACAGACAAACAGACAGAATCCCTAAGACACATCTGCGCACAAGAACACTACACAGGGACATTGCAAACAATAAATGAAAACAACTGATAATCAACAAAAACGGTTATTGGAAGATTTGCTATGGGTACGTCTATCATACTAAAATATATGAAGATCCCCGGGGAAGAACGATCAAAGTAACTTTTTTAACGAACCCAGGTTAATGGCGCCTTCTGGTAGCAAATTATATAAGCTTTCTGTGGAACAATTAATTTCAGGTAAAAACTATCGGAGTCACATCGAACTAAGGCCCTTCTGAAATGGCCTCCCGGACAAAAAAAAAGACCGTCGTATCCTTTATTTGAGCTTCATTTGGCTGAAAAGTGGAAGTCATTATTAAACATCATTTTGAAGTTGTATTTAAACCCACTTGTTGTTCTGTTCGCATCAAGCATTCTCGCCCAAAAGTCAGTTTTGCCTTTTATGCGAAAAGACAAAAATATGACTTAGATCGTTCTTCCCCGGGACTCTTCATATGGTTTTAATTTCAGGCCAGAAGATCCAACAAACAAAAGTTTCTAAGAAATGCATTGAAATACTATTCAAAAAAAGTAGGGGATATTTGATTTTGGGGGCATAATACTAAAATATGCAAATGACTACGAAAAAAGTCACTATAGAACCTAACAGAAGAAACATTTCCAGTTACATGTGACGCCCAAACGCACCAATAGCTACCGCATGGAATGCAGGTGATGCTTGGGATCATCATGGGGGTCCAACCCAAGATTTGCATGACTCTGACTTTGAATGTTACAGTCATTGTGGCATTGAATTCCAGGGTGGAAACATCAGTTTAATTGTTTTAGTGACCAGAAAACAAATTTTGATATGCGTCGGCTTACCCAAAATGAAAGGTTACGTGCCCTTGGCATGCTACAGATCGGCACAACACAGGCGGTTGTGGCGCGGACGATGAATGTTTCTCAGTCTGTCATAAGCAGGTTATGGTCCAGATACCGTGATACACAATCTGTACAGGACAGACCACGCTCAGGTCGACCAAGGGCGACAACTCAAGCCCAGGATCGATTTATCCGTACCTTGGCCTTGAGAAATCGTGTCATCACAGCAAATCAGATCAGCGCTCGTCTTAAAACAGACACTGGTGTGAGAGTGAGTGGCCAGACGATTCGGAATCGACTGCATAGGGGTCACCTTCGCGCCCGACGTCCTCGCGTGATCCCTTGTTTGAGAGATCATCACATTCAGGCAAGACGTCGTTGGTGTAGGGATCGTCAACACTGGGACAATCGACGCTGGAGCAATGTGATGTTTTCAGATGAGTCAAGGTTCACTGCTGATTTTTTGGACAGACGTAGGAGGGTGTGGCGTCGTCGAAACGAGCGCTTCCAAGACGTTAACGTCATCAGACATGATCGATTTGGGGGTGGTTCTGTTATGGTGTGGGGAGGCATCACTGTTGCTGGAAGAACGGCTTTACATGTTGTTGCAGGGCGTGTTACAGGCCAGTACTACCGGGACAACATCTTGGCAGTCCATGTTGTGCCGTTCGCACGACGTCATGGCCGCCGTTTCATCTTCCAGGATGACAACGCAAGATGTCACAGGGCCAGGATCGTTACAGGTTACCTCCAACAACAGAACATCACCACATTACCTTGGCCAGCACTGAGTCCCGACCTCTCCCCCATCGAGCATGTCTGGGACATGCTTGGACAGAGGTTACGTCAACGTCAACAACGTCCTGCCAATGTCCAAGAACTTGCTGCTGCGTTGCAACAGGAATGGGACAATCTGGACCAAAATGACCTTAGACGTCTCATTAGGAGTATGCCACGTCGGATCAATGCTTGTTTGGCAAACAGAGGAGGATTTACCCGTTACTGACTTGGTTGTGATGCTGTGGTAACTTTGCTGTTTGACCCCGGGTATCATTTTACCCTTATAATGGTCAGTCTGTGCCTTACTTAGTCTAACGATCATTTGGAATAAATCGATGAATGTGAACTTCATTTCATTTTGTCATTTGTTTCTTCGTCAGTTTCATTAGGTGACTTTAATAACACTTAAAAATCAAATATCCCCTACTTTTTTTGAATAGTATATAACAGAAGTATCTAGTGCATTTACACTGTGTCATTATTTTACAATCAAAATAATTCTCTTTTGATTGACGTAAGTTTTGAATAAGTAAAAATATTCAGTTTAGTACTTGTCAAATAAAGTAAGAAGAGTTAAAGAGACAACACTCCATAATATATGCCCCCATGTACAAATATTCCTTTACAAGAACTTGAGTGATTTGTACGGAAAATAAAGCAGAATTATTGATACTTTATCTCCACAGAAATATAAAGATGGCGGCATAAAGAAAATTAAAAACATTACATGACAATACCCCATCATGAATTTTTATTTTGGTGTGTTGTTACTTTAATATTGTATAATATTATATAATGTCACAATGTTTGCAAATGTCATAAAATCAACTCGCTGTTTTGGCGTATTACAATAACAAATAATGTTTACTTGGTTAACATACTATAACAACAAGCAAAATGTACGATTCTCTGCGAATTATTAATACCATATTGACACTGATGTGTGGGGTATTTAACACGCCTGATAAATCTCACTATGATAACTATGACCTATGATAACTATATAGTGTATTAAAATATAACAAAAGGTTACCATTACAATAAGTAAAATAATACCCCTCAAATTTTCAAATTTTCTTTATTTTCTTTTAACTGTTTCATTACAATATTAGTGTAAAGTTCGTTTGCCGATAATATGTGATCCAGAATCAAAATGGTTTGCGAGACCTGTCAGTTTAAATGTCACTGCAAAGTTAGAAGGTAATTTATTGTATGGTATTGCTGGAATTGTTATGTCCATGCCTCCATCTAAACGCGGAAGCCAGGCGAGCTGTGGTCCATTATACCCAAGTATGTGTACCTGTGTATCATGATCTGACTTTGGTGCACTTAAACTTAGGGTAACACCACTCTCAAATCCCAATATTATGGCATAAATAACGTTTTGTTTCTTCGTGTACCTATAAAAAAGAATTAATAAATTGATAAATTAACTTTGAATATTTACCCAGACGAGTCCTTTAAGTATTCGATCCACTAGCAGCACTCTCGGTGGAGAGAGACAGAGAGAGAAATGGGGTTTAACGTCCACTCGACACAAACTAGGTCATTTCGGGACTAACATATGGTTTAATTTTATTTCAATAATTCGCTTGCGCGTAGGGGTCTTTAGCAGTGGGAGGAAACCGGAGGACCCGGAGAAAACACCCGAGGTTGGACAGGCGACCCTACTCCTTGTCACGTACCACCAGGGATTCGAAACCACGCCAGTTGACTCAATGGCAGGCCATATGATACAGCGCGCACGTGCTAACCATTCGGCCATCCAACCCCCACTCTCGGTGGAAGGCTAAACAAATATGCAAGACACGGCTGTTTATAATTATGCTAATTTCCGAACATTCGTGCCAGGGGTTGTAATGAGAGTAAGCGCACTCTTTTGTATCAATCCCCAAAATAACCCAAAGTTAAAATAAACCAAAACAGTTAATAACTGGGCAATTAATCTAGCGAAAATTTTAAAAGATTTACCTTGACCCAAACAGTATTCTTATCTCTAAAATAATTATGGTAAAACGTCAGTCAGTACAATGCGTTCGATATGAAATCGTGGAACATCATGCCCTAGCTTAACATCAAATTTATAACATCAGTATTATAATATTATTAAACTTACCAAACAGTTGGAGATAATTTATCATTTTGAGTTGACCATGGTCTAGAACTTTTAATAGCTTCGTTATTAACAGACAACCAATTGCCAATATCTCGTAGCCTTTCTTCGTAAATAGGATGGATGGTTCCTTCCTCGGTCGGACCAACGTTCATTAACATATTACCTCCAAGGCTTGAATAGTTTGAAATGGAATAAAGATTGTATAGAAGATTTTAATTGTAATTATTAATAATGGTTTGTCAGAGTAGTATTTAGTAATATTCAATGGTTTCAATCTGGTAGAATTTAACTGGTCCCGATAATCCAGCACTACCTATATACCCGCCATTGGCGGAGCAAGACTTTTGGCAGTCGAAAAATGACGTAGTCTGCCAAATGAAAGTCTATATGTTTTGTTTTGATATCGTTGATGTCAAAAATGTTAATAAACGAAATGGCTGTATACTAACCTGACTGTTTGTACGAAAGTGTTTATGAGGTCTTGGGACGAAAGAAAACTGTTAAGTTTTGCATTTCGTCTGAATCCAAAAGAACTTTTATCAATTGTCATAACATTTTCCCATTTCTTCTTTTGTAATTGATCTGTAATTGATAACATGCAGTTGAAATAATTTAGTTCAGCTCATGCATGGTAATAAATCCACAATATTTTAAGACCGACCATAGATTAAAGTGGCTAAGTGGTCGATTCGTGGCATTGAAATCGGGTGTAACATTCCACTATTCTGCAGCGAATGGGCTAATGAAGATGGAAATTGTGCCCGGACGTTTAAGCCTAATCGACGTCGAATTCCAACTGCCAGGGGTTCTTTTACGTGCATGAAGTCTAAATGGGGCAGTGATTGTTTTTCCCCTCCGAACGATTAGTTGCTTTTTCTTGTAAGGTCCCCCGTCCCGTCCTGCAACACTGACAAGGGGAAACGACGCTAACAGCTAACAATTCCGCAGAACTTTTTCGGTCAACCTGGGAACTCTGCATGGCATCATCGAAGCGACGATAAATATCTAATATCAGACAATTTTACCTGGCAAAAATCTATCATGGCATGTCATAACTCCACCATGATTGCACCAGGTGTCATAACCCCATCTATCATTGGTTACAACAGAATCTTTGACTGGACTGAAAGTTGAAAATTGTTTGGATGTGAGGAAATGTTTATGGTGCTGGTCAAATAATTAATTGCGGTGGTGTACTGCGATTGGAAACGCCCATTACTAAAGTAACCTGGTTCTTTTTTAGATATTTTGTTTGTATTTTTTTATGTTTGTGTTTGCTTATCTTCAATTTAATTAGTTTTGTTTAGTGCTATACACAGATTGGTGAACGGTGGCTTGTTGTGGCTCGAGTGGTAGCGTTTTCATTGGCTATTTACAAAACACAGACAAAAACACGACACAGTGATAAAACTCATGTGTAACATATAAAATAACGTACGTCAAAAGACGAAATGGATCAGATTGTATCGTAATTATGCATTGTAATATTGATATTACCTATCATTGTACAACCATGCAAGAAACTCCTGGGCTTTCCAATATGACCCTAGCGCTTTATCCAATACATCAACCCATAGTACATCCGGTTTGTAACTCTTTACCAATTCATATAGTTGTGGTAGAGTCTTCGTCTTAGAAATATATAACATAATTTCCCTTTTTATCTGTTAGTTTTATAAGCAATATCAATCGCCAAATGTCCTAATTTGTGTCCAATGGACGTTAAACCCCATTCCTCTCTCTTCCTCTTATAATCAATACTAAACGCAAGTTCTGGCAATCAGAAATATTTTAGTCCAAGCTGTATCCGGTAAGATAGATCGTATTTTAAACATGACCTACGGTTATGTTTATTAAAGGGAGCATTTTGCCCAGACACCTGTTTTTCCACCTACATCTCCTCGAATTCCCACTGCCATGGTTCCTTTACATGTATCCAGCGTTTACTAGAGGACCCCACCCCATCCGAACGACAAGGCAACACTTCCATTGTCAATCCAGTATACTCCATACCTAACTACTGTAATGGGAACTGGGATTGGAAAAACCCAAAGGCAAAGGTTTCTTCTCGGTCAACACCCGGATTCGAACCTGTGACATTCTAGCTGAGCGTTCCATGCCCGCATCGCGTTAAAAAATTACCAAAATAGAAATATCGTTCATTCCGGTGATCTGTTCTCGTAATGTTAAAAAGGAAGAATGTGATAACTCTTAGGAAATCGGAAACTAGGCACATACAATGCAATAAATGATATTGGGACCACTACATCGTATAAATGAATAAAGAAACACCTACGTTAACATATTCTTGGGTAGTAAAATTATTAGCTTTATCGTCAAGAAACAGGGGGTTGAACCATTCAGATAGCGAATAGTAAATTCCATAATGTAGAGATGTCTTGTTTTTGATGGCTGTGCCAAGTTCACCTGTAATAAATATTACACATTTTATATAAATACAAAATATCCGAATCTTCAACTACATATAAGAAAGTATACTTTAGACTGTCCTTTTGAAACTTGAGGTACTCTTATCTTTTGTTGTTTCAATTTACGGCTATCCAGCTGTTAAAGCACAAATCGTAAAACAAACTAAGTAATTCAAAACATATATATGCAATATTGCAAATAAAAAAAAACTTTACCTATAATATCCCTTCTTGGACCTAGTGCCATCGAGTTCCAACCAACGGAATATTTGGAAGGCCACATGGAATAACCGTCATGGTGTTTACTTGTAATAACAATATATCTGAAATTCAAAAAGAAACGAAAATACAAACTACAACCCTGGAAATGAAATATATATATACCGTCAATCTTAAAAAGCAAACGTAAATACGATAATGGCGAAATAATCTGTAGTAACAGTACGAGGACTTCACTTGACCAACACACAAACTGGCCTTCCTATATCAAAATAGTATCGGGTGTTTCGAAGCATACTCTGCCTCGCACACGATTCCCAGTACTACTATTCTACCATACTTAATTGAGTATATACAAGCCTTAGTTAGCTAAATAGATCTGTGACGATAGAAGACACACATCCTGCATATATGAAAAAATTCCGGAAATATTTAGCTGATAGAAGTCAGGCGCACAACTGTCAAATATTAATACAACACAGGAAAAACTGGGACTTTTGGGTCTTGTCAACACAGTAAGAAGGTAATATTCAGACTAACCTACTGTTAGTTTGTTCCATGGCCAGGAGTTCAATGCTTGGATAATTTTCCTGGACGACTGCGTATTCCAATTGTCGGTGTTTGTTTTACGTGCATGTCAATCTTTGTTTGTCGACCAATTCGAACTACTATAACACACTTTCTTTGTCAAGCCATAAGACGGTTGATCTGACTGACATAGTGTATAGTCTCTTTCCATTGTATACATTACAGGAAATGGTAAATAAATATTTAAAAAAAAACATGCCGCCCACTTGTTATAGATGTAAGTAGCGTTGAAGATTGTCGTACACGGGAGGATGCTGATTTTCATTTATTTGAAACGTTCCTGGAGCTGATATAGTTTTTAAAACATACTTTGGTACTTACTCGGCTCCTGAATCTTTGAATAAATCCGCCCACTCGTTCGGATCAAAAAAGTCGGCATGAAAGTCGGTCGCAAAATCCTCATACGTAAACCTTGGTCTATAATAGGTATTCATATAAGTAATTATATCTTTATTGTGTTTCACCTTCCAATAATTCCAAAACCACTCAGAAATATAACTCGGTACACTGTAAATTCCCCAGTGAATAAAAATGCCCAGTTTTGCATCATCATACCAAGTAGGTAAAGGTCGAGCATCTAAAGAGGCCCAGTTAGGGTCATATTTCGCACACACACCACATATGCACAGAATCGCGATGACAACAATTCCTGGTATGTACATCTTTACTTGTGAATTTTAATGATTTACGAAGATAACGTTTGCTTATATACTACTTGGATTAATGTTCCGACCTTTAAAAGATAATCTTATCTATATAGATCACTTTGATAAAATTGTGTTCCTCTAGCAGAATTAACATCATCTGTTAACAGTGGCCTACCGCGTGCCATATTATTTGTATATTAATAGACATGGGGCCTGTTTCACGAAATTTTAACTAAGATAAATTCCAAATTTTAGTAATTTGATTGGATAATATTAGATTGATTTTAGTGCTTACCCAATCAAAATTGAAGTATCTACTAAAATTGGATTTTATCTTTAGTTAAGATTTCGAGAAACAGGACCCTATTATTATTTGTCCAGTTTCGATCAAGCAAATTCTTAATATATATATATATATATATATATATATATATATATATATCATACGGAAGTCCCGAAATGATCTGGTTAGTGTTGAGTGGATTTTAAACCCAACTGCCGCCATTATTGTAGCCAATAACCGTGGTTGGTTATGCCTAGTGCTGGTTCTAAACACTGTCTGGTCAAAAGAACACAACATAGTGGTTAACCAAGAATCCCCCAATCACCGTCAGCCTCGATTCGTATACTAACAAAAATATTTTATTCAGTTGTAATACATGGGACCATTTTTGATTAACTAACTGAAATATGAAATAAAATATTTTCCCAAGATAATTATTATAGTTCACATGGATGGGTCTCATTTTGTGATACTGTTTCAAAGTTCAGTGACTGAAACATAGTAAAAAAATCTTAGTTCAAAATAGCAACGCGAGAGGTCTTTTCTCATTAACTTTTGGAGAGAGAGAGAGAGAGAGAGGGGGGGGATGGGTTTACTGTCCACTCGACACAAACTATGTCATTTCGGGACTAACACATCGTTCAATTTTATTTCAATAATTCGCTTGCGCTTAGGGGTCTTTAGCAGTGGGAGGAATCGGGGGGACCCGGAGAAAACCCACGAGGTTGGACAGGCGATCCTACTCCTTATCACGTACAACCGGGAATTGAAACCCGGCAGTTGACTCAATGACAGACCGTATGATAATGCGCGCATGTGCTAACCATTCGGCCATCCAACCCCCCTTGCACACCTACAGAAAATGGTTCCGCATAAGTAACTTCCAATGTCGGTGTATCCGTTTGTTTCTCTTACTGGTGTCCTCTATTTGTTATTGCACTTATATTTTGCTACTAAAGCAACAAGGGCACATTGACCGTACAGTTTGTTTTCCCTATCGGTATTACGCCGCTTTGTCAAAATTTCAATTATCCCGACAAAGAGATATAGGACACGAGAGACAGTCGTGCGGAACGAACTATATAGTAAGTGCATTTATTCTAGCTCATTGAAGCTTGGTAACTGTAAATATAGGCCTCTTTTTCACATTTGTAAAAATAAACGATTTTAATCTTAATGTACCTATGACTCAGTTGTACACAAATTAGACATTCATTGAACAACGATAATATACAGTATATATAAGGAAATTTTAAAATATTTTCGAAACCTGATACGGATACCCTCTATGTTTATATGCATCAGCCGAGCGAAGTGATATGAAAGTAATTTTTGGAAGTAGTAATTATATTTTAATCTTTCCAAGCAGTGTCAGATTTACCTATAAGCTTGGCAGAATGAGACCTAGGGGGTCTCGGGCCTAGGTGTATAATATTTTTACACTGTCATCCTCCTTGGCTTTGATCAAACACACATTTGATTGGGGGGATTGGAAGGGGCCCAATAACCTGATAGCCTAGGGTATCTCTCCGTCTGAATCTGGCACAGCTCCCTAGCTTATAATCTCAAAATTGTAGGAAAGTGTAAAATTATGAGACCCCTAAAAGCGAACAAGTAAATAAAGAATAGCGATATCGCAAGTTAATACAGAAGTTACGAACAAAAATTATTTAGAATGTTCATCTGAGAGACGTTCCTATTATAGATGACATTCAAAAAATACATTTCCAGAAGAAAAGCAGGGGAACACAGCTTTGATCTAAATTGAGTCCGGTCCTATGCGCCTGTTCAATCTGAAAACACTGTTTTAAACATTGTGCTTTTCTAATCTACATGTACTTCAAAAACGATTTGTCATTTGGAATTCCACAAAGAGTAGGCAGCAGCACTGCTGTCTGAGCAAATACTCCCCCGTGGTACATTACATGGCGTATGTCCATCTTCATCATCCCTGCTGCAGAAAAACAGTACGTTAAGCCCACTTCATTTCATTTAGTTTCATTCTAGATGCTGATCAAATGTAAAATATTCTACTGTCACCAAATTCTACAAACCTTTTTATACGTTACATCGTAATCGTAATATGTTCCACATCAAGACTGACCTCTTGTGGTAAAAAACACCACAGACCAAAACCAATCCATCAAAATCTTGTGGGATGTGCTACCACTTTTCCAAACGCCCCCAAACCTTGCCATTATGATTTCTTTACAGTTCTATGAATTGAAACTTCAAGCTAATAAAATAGTGTTAAAAGGATGTCATTATGTTGTTTCAATCTGTTAATAATTTTGATTCAGGACAGCTTGCCCTTTCTGTAAAGTCAATGCAGTAACATCTCACAATTAACATCAATTTGATTTTACGTTTGTCTGACAATTTGATGCTAGTGTCAGTCAGTACTCATGTGACGTAATTGGTGGAAATATATTTCTAGACAGAATATTTCCGGCTTTCTTTCAAAAAAAAGATATTTTATGTCAACCTTGTAACAATTGTGTCTTTACTGTAACATGATAGTCCTTTATGTAACACTGCGATAGCAAGCTCATATCTTCGTGGATTCATTGATGCCTCTCTACAGAGCATGAGCAAATAATTGTCTGAGTATACATACAGACTTAAATTTGAAAATAATCTGTTCAGAACTGACACTTTGAGCTATATTTTATCAAATAAATATAAAAAAATAAACAATTAACCATATTTGAAATTTGGTCATTTGTGATTTGCAATTTCTACGATTTTGATAATGACTCCTATTCGTTTATTGTTTGGCTGGGGCGAATTGGTGATGTTGGCGATATGACTGTACTCATATTGATTGATCAAGTTAGACTGGGTGTAGGCGTGGTCAGAAATTGGCTTTTTATTTGACTTGAATCATGATTAATCAAGTAATCGCAACTAATCAATACATTTTATTTGCAAATCTCTTTTAAAATTACTTTCTAACGGGTATTCAGCTGTAAATTGACCCCCAACGCATTATGTTGTTAATGAATATAATACATCAGTTTGATAGTGGAATTAATTTGAATATATGTTGATGAAATATTATAATGCATTAATTCCACTACCAAACTGATGTATTATTGATTTCAGGGGAATAGGGGGATGAGTGGCCCAGTGGTTTAGGGTCCGTCATTGGGTCAAGTAAAATTAATTGTGTTAGTCCCGAAATGATCTAGTTTGTGTTGAGTGGCGTTAAACCCCATTTCTGTCTACATGTATTTTTAAAGGAAATAATAGCGTGCTGATAAAAGAAAGATGACACGGACTTTATATTCAATGGTCCATAAGGAGAATTCACACGATTTACAAGGTAATCTCAATGATTTTATTTTTTGGCACGGTGATCTGATAAATAAATATATGAAATCGATTAACAACATCGTGATTAATTGAATACCACAAACTAAGTCTAATATTTATTTCATTGTATAACTGAATTGTGTAGAAATAGTCTATTTGGCAATCTTTTATTTGTATCTTAACATTTGTTTTTTTATCTACAACGGTATGTTATAATACGTTATTCAACAGATGCCCATTCTCATACTAAATTCTTTTGAAAAAGGTAAACAAATTAATGATTTTTCTTCAATGCTGTGGGTACGTTCAGTATTATCATTACCGATTTTTCATGTTGAACTGGGTTAAAGAGAGATTAACTTGTTGCAGGTTAAACTGTTTCCCCTTGAATAATCTTGATGGCGACTTGTCATTAAATGTCATATATTATTTTTCAGTTTACCTTTTTCGACGGCAATACTATATACCGGAAAACAACGGAAAAAACCATTTTATACTGAATACCGGAAACACCGGAAAAACACTAAATACCGGAAAACACCCTAAATACCGGAAAATACCCTAAATAGGTAACCCGGAGACTGGCACCCTAAATAGGTAACCGGGAGCCTGGTCCTCTGTGTGCCTGGGTTAGGTGTGCCTGGGTTTCGACGGCAATACTATATACCGGAAAACAACGGAAAACCGGAAAACAACCGGAAAACACCATTTTATACTGAATACCGGAAACACCGGAAAAACACTAAATACCGGAAAATACCCTAAATAGGTAACCCGGAGACTGGCACCCTAAATAGGTAACCGGG